ATATTACAATTCTCCCAGGGAAACGAACTGCACTTCAGAATAAACATATTTTTCTCCAAGTTTAACTCACCATTTGTCTGTCAAATTGCCTTGCCTTTGCAGAGCTAAGATTCCATGGGCTCTTACTAAAGCGACACATTTCTTAGTCAGATGAGCTGCCCCAAATGACCCAGACTCAGGAGACTCTGACATTTTGATAGGAATATTATTTAATTTGATGATCATCTATGGATGTATAGACAGGAGAGTCTGTAAATGTGAGCTTTGTAGCTTGGAATTCTAGCAAAGCTTAGTTTAATTGCTCATAAGGGGAGGCACTGCTGTGTTTGTAAATTTCACAGAAAAAAAGAAAAGTGACTCTCAACCTCTCTTATTGTACATCTGAGTAGGGAATAAAATAATTTGCTGGCATGATCTATTCTCATTCTGGAGGGCTTATCTACCTCTGTCAACACTTGTATGAAATCCTAATGTTGATAGCTCTTTCTGGTTGAAGCCCAGGTAGTCTCAAGCCAAGAAAGGAATCTTGGCTTGAATAAGGATGATTTAAATGCTGCTATTCTTGTAGTCACTCTCTTTTTAGTGCCTCTTATTAACAATATCTCTTTTCTTATATAAATTGGCAGCTTTTTCCTCTGCAAATAAAAATAAAGTTAAGAGAACTCTAAATCAATCTTCGTTAAGTATTCACCTTACCCAAGCAAAGATATATTATTTAACATCTATCTTACTTGCTATCCAAGAACAGTGACTAGCAGATGGCAATGGGTTGTATGCATATTTGATTAATGAATTTTGAATGAACCCTGTAGTTCATATTTTAGCATTTGCTAGTAAGGTGATTTGGTAGTTGTCAAAGGTGGGCTTTGGAGTCAAAGAAGCATAGACAAGATTGGATCCTTCCACTCATTCTCAAGACTTTTCTGGATGAAGTTCTCTTGTCTGAGAGTCATAGCCATTATATCAGAGAAGTTTGAGGATGAAAGTAAACAGTGCACTGAAATACTTGCATAAGGTGGGTCCTGAGCATGTGCTCTGATGATTCCCAATGTCTTTCATATCGCTGGTTACTAAGTGGTCCAGATTGTTCCCCGAAAAGTTCAGTGAATAGAGAAAACTTCAATTTTTTTCTTCATATATTGCCTCTGCCTCAGAGAGTCTGGCACATGATAGTCAATGCTCAATGTGGATGTTGTACTGATGTATATATGTATCCACTTCAATCAGGGTAATCCAATCAGGTAACTGTATGGCTGAAGTCAGTGTCCTATCTATTCAGGGACTGCAGGTGAGTTGAGTTCTATGTACAAAATTCCTGGCAAGCATGGAGTAGGACTGACTTTATTGTATCCCACTTCTATTTCTGAGAAATTTAACTAGTTTTTTTTTTTTTTTGTCAGTTGTGGGTCTTGAACTCTGGGCCTGGGCACTGTCCCTCAGCTCTTCAGCTCAAGGAGAACTCTCTACCACTTGAGCCACAGTGCCACTTCTGGTGTTCTGTTAATTGGAGATAAGAGTCTCAGGAACTTTCCTGCGCAGGCTGGCTTTAAATTGTGATCCTTAGATCTCAGCCTCCTGAATAGCTAGGATTACAGGCATGAGCCACCTGCACCTAGCCTAGTTAGTTATTTTTGGGCCAGTCCTGGGGCTTGAACTCTGGGCCTGGGTGTTGTCCCTGAGCTTTGGTGCCCAAGGTTAGCACTCTACCACTTGAGCCACAGCTCCACTTCCAGCTTTTTGGGTGGTTGAATGGAGATAAGAGTCTCATGGTCTTTTCTGCCTGGGCTGGCTTTGAAGCTCAGTCCTCAGATCTCAGCCTCTTGAGTAGCTAGGATTACAGGCATGAGCCACCGGTGCTGGTTAAAAAGATGTTGTTGGTACTATGATTTGAACTCAGGGCCTTGTGCCTTCTAGGCTGGAACTATACCACTTGAACTCTGCCTCCTGCCCTGTTTTGATTTGTTTTGAGATAGGCCTTGTTAACTTCTCTGCCTTAGTTGGCCTTGAAACAGATCCTTCTGGTCTCAGCATTCCTAGTAGTTAGTATTACAAGCATAAACCACAGGCTTGCACAAAACAACTCTTTTTTTTTTTTGGGTCCAGTCATGGGGCCTGCACTCTGGGCCTCGGCGCTGTCCCTTAGCTCTTCAGCTCAAGGCTAGAGCTCTACCACTTGAGCCACAGCGCTACTTCCGGCTTTTTTCTTTTTTCTTATGTGGTGCTGAGGACTCGAACCCAGGGCCTCAGGCATGCAAGACAAGCGCTCTACCACTGAGTCACCTTCCAAGCCCTAAAACACCTCTTTTATAAGTGCTGATTATTCAAGATACAGTTTGCCATTCAATATTTACATTTAAACACTAGTCCTAATAGCTATCTACAATTTTTAATTTTTTTTTGTTTATGTGGTACCAAGGAATTGAACTCAGGGCCTCATGCATGCCAGGCAAGCATTTGTCTATTAAGCCACATTCGTAGCCCCTCTATCTACATTTATGTTTCCATGTATCTATTTAATGTACTCAATTCATAGAATGAATACAATAAATTTACGGTCAAAAAAGGGGGAAATACCCACAGTGTCCAAACCCAAATTTCATTACTATGATCAGGGCTGTTTTCTCTATAATGTGCATAAATGATATCCTGCTCATTAGGAAGTTGCTCTCTCGCTCACCTCTGTGAAATGCATAACTGTATTTGAGAGGCATTTTTACATTTTTCCAAAAGAGTGATTGACACTGATAAAAAGAAATTCTTCTTGGCTGGGAAGTTGGCTCAGTGGTAGAGCGCTTGCCTTGCATGCATGAGGCCCTGGGTTCGATTCCTTAGCACCACATAAGCAAAAAGAAAAAAAGCCGGAAGTGGCGCTGTGGCTCAAGTGGTAGGGCACTAGCCTTGAGCTGAAGGGCTGAGGGACAGTGCTCAGGCCCAGAGTTCAGGCCCCACAGCCGGAAAAAAAAAATAATAAATAAAAAAAGGAAATTCTTCTATTTCTTGTGTGTGTGTGTGGGGGGGGGTGCACGCCCACTTAGTGGGGCTTGAACTCAGTGCCTGGGCACTGTCCCTTATGTATTCCTGCTCAAGCCACAGCTTCCCTTCGAGGGTTTGTGGGGGGGTAATTGGAGATAAGAGTCTGAGGGATTTTCCTGCACAGGCTGGCTTTGAATCTCAATCCTCAGATATCAGCCTCTTGAATAGTTAGGTTTACAGGAATGAGCCATTGGTGCCAGGCTCTGTTTTATTTCTTAGATTGACTAACCTCACATTTTAAATTTATGTCATTTTGGGGGTAATACTTAGTGGAAAGAAGTGAAAGAAGAATGGGTATTGGCATAAAGGAAGGAGGGGAGGACAGGGGGAAGAAGAGGCCACAGTTGGGTGTGAAAAAGTTCTGGGCTAGCTGTCAGAAGCTCCAGATGTGCTTTCTGCTCTGCCTGCAACATGTGATTGGGGCAAATCCATTCATTTCTCTGGGCTTTGTGTGGAGTTTGTGGGAAGAGTGTCGGTGAAAGTGATGCATAGATGATTTATAAATGCACTTCCTTTTTTAAAAAATTACTCAATAAAAGGGTCCTCAAACTGCAATCAGCAAACCAAACTGATGTCATCTGCTTGTGTACATTTGCTGAGGTTACAATGTCATTCATGTTTTTAAGTAGTTGGAAAAACAAACTTCATGATGTGACAAATTACATACAGTTGCAAATTTTATATAATATAAAATTTCCACATATTACTCGAATAGAGACACATATCTGTGTTTGCCTACTGTCCATGGTCAGTTTCATGCCAAAGCTTTGCTTGTCCAGTAGTTGCTACAAAGACTTCAAGGCCCATCAAATCCAAAATACTCCCTATTTGGCTCTTTGCAGAAAAAACTTGTCTCTACCTGCTCTCGCGAGTATATACCTGCTTGTTTGGGGTTGATCTCTTCCTTTTATATAAGATGTGCGTTCTTCAAGCATTTTTCACAATGTTATTACTATGCTGCAAAGTTCAGTTTCCTAAGTGGATAGGGGACTCCTAGCACTGGGGAAAATAGTAAGAGGCTCAGCATTTGTTATTGAATACACATTCTAACACAACCACTAAGCCAGTAATTTTCAGAACCCCAAAAGGAGTTTCTCAAACTCCTTCTTTGCAAACTAAGTTGCCTCTTTTGGTAATTTCTAATTTTTCAAATGCCAAACACAAGCCAGATATAACAAAAAAAATATACTGAAATTTAGATATGCAATGAAGAGGTGTGTGTGGAAGACGTATTAGAATCAAATTTCCTTCTGGGTAAGGCATTTATTAATATATCTAGTAAGAATGAAATGGCCTCAGTCTCGTACCTCTGTGCGCCACGTTTTAAAAAACGAGGATGTCCTAGGGCAAGGCTGTCAGAAACACTCGTGATTCAAGCTTATCGCTCCACCCCCTCTCCCCGCAAAAAAAAGAAAAAAAAAAAGAAAAAAGAAAAACGGCGAGTGCCGAGCAAAACGATCGTGTGATGAGCACAAAATAGGTGTTGCATTCTTTGCAATGTGGCGCTCGCGAAGCAAAGGCACGTTGTGTTGCAGATTTACTACAGCTGAGTCACTTCAGGACACGAGAGGGTTGTTTTCAGGAAAACCGAGGAAGGAACCTGGAAGAGGGGCTCTCACCGGGTTCCCCCGGGCACTCCCAGCTGCAGACGCCGGTATTCCGCGGCGGGCGGAGTGGGGGGGAGGGACGGCGTGGTCAGGAGAGACGCCGTGGCCCCTTTAAGAGGCACAGCACCTTCTCCCAGATACCATCTTGCACCAGGAGTTCACTCAAGCTCTCCACCTACCTTGCTAGGTCCCTCCTCCCTAACTGGGCACGGCCGGCCGGCCGGGGGGGGGGGGGGGAGGGAGCGAACCTTTTCATTGGCTTTGCGCGCACAGCCCTCTCGCTCCCATTGGTTGCCACGCCCGCCACTCGGCATGATCTCCCGCCTACTTTTCGCCTTTGGGCTAGGTTGAGTGAGGGCTCTTGGGTTAGTTCCTGTTAGGCCCCGGCCCGGGGAGTAGGTTCAAGTCTCCGAAGATGCTTGGTGGGCCCGGGCGCCAGCAGCCGTGAGGGGAGCGTGAGGAGGCGGCGAGCGGAGACCCACGGCAGGCCTGGGGAGGACTGGCGGCCGAGCCCGCCTTTCCCGCACCATGCTCATAGAGGATGTGGATGCCCTCAAGTCCTGGCTGGCCAAGTTGCTGGAGCCGATGTGAGTGAGCCGGGCCGGGCCGGGCCGCCGGGGC